CTGTCAACTCTGGCAACTTCCTGATGGTTGACATTAACACCAAGCCAAAAAAAAATCTCACACCATTAAAAGTACCTGTACTCAAGCAAGGATGTAAAATGAAGTAATCCATTTTCAAATAAATGAAAATCTTATTAGCATCACAGCATCGCTCATGGCAAAACACTAGGTGATTTGAAAAGTGTCCCAAGCTGTCTGCTAGTGGTGATGACAGATGAGGTGTGGACGATGTAAAGGGATTGGTGTGGAGCATGGGTGGGGTTGGGGTATAGGGAATGGCTGCCAAGGAACAGACCCCGAGTTAAATCCCCCCAAAATGTGTAATCTTACATAATATCCTCATGTGTCTTGATAAGAGCAAACCCTAAACAGGCCGACAGCATCCGTCAGCATGGTCTATGAAAACTCACTAACAATGTTATGGATCCTGAAGGCAGCTGCAGCCCTGGCAAATATGCTCTGTGAACCCCTAATTTGGCAGCTATATCTTCTTTAACAACATCATTACCAGTGGCTATCACCATAACCACATCCACAGCAACAATCCTCACAAAACCCATAATGTGAAACTGCATTACGATGGCTCCCGTGGACTCATATTGGAGTGCTGCTGTGCTGTTATACACATGAACAGGCTACAAACCCCACACAACCATGGGCACTAAATGGTCTCTACTGACTATATTAGCTATCTGGTATTGTTTAACTGGGAAGTAATTAACTGACTTGGTCAATAGGTGGGGTGGAGAGCTAGTCTGTGAGGTGTTTATAGGCCCCTAGAGTCATGGCTGAGGTGAGAGGGCACGACAGAGCCCATCTATCCAAACTCAATGACCTGACAGATCCTTCACTGAAGTCTTACACTCCTTTCAATTATTGATAAGATAAAAGAGAGATTAATTTAAAAATACTCATGATAAAGCTGCTAATGTGAAAAACAAAGATTTTTGTGCTTGACTGTACCCGCGTGTTTGTTTGAGAATTCATGCTTGAATGTACGAGTGTGTAGGTGTTTGTTAATCAGACAGGCTGAATGTGCTCCCTTTTTATTTTTTAACACGCTGTACGGAAAGGCGCTGCGGCTCAGTAAATGGCTCCCTTCGCTAATCATCTCTGCTATAGCAGGGAAAAAGAGAGAGATAAATGTTTGAGTGGAAAGGTTGAGGGCATCTCTTTCAGACCTGCCCCTACTGTCAGTGAATAAAAGCCTGAAAAGGAGCCACAACGACAGGCTAGAAGTGAGTCCAACTAGGCTTTGAAAACGCTGCCTCTTCTCCAGGCCTTGGTGCTAATGCATCTGACTCAAAGGCTGTAAGCCAGAGATAGATAGATAGAGAGAGAGAGAGACAGGCAGGAAGAAAGGGAAAAAAAGAGAAAGGTGTAGAAGAGATAGGGAACTGGTGCTAAAGACGACAAAAGAGCTCCAAGGTGTGCACTCGGTATTCAGTAATTGGTAAAAGAAGCTTCATTTCTTACAGTGATTTCCTGTCTTTTTACCGCCTCTGACAATCCTGATGCTTTTAACAGGGATATGAGTAGGGGCTATTCTGTGCAGTCACACCCCCCTCCCCCCTGAGTCCCCTTGAACACCAACCTGTCTGGCTGCTTCAGTCCTTCCATCTCCTTCTATCCTCGCAAAATGGAAAAAGAAAAAAGCATTAACCATATTCTTTCTGTCATTCTCTCTCTTTGAATACCTCAAACCCCTTTAGCTTTAATCATTTCTGGATCAGGCTCAGTCCAAATAAGCCAAGCCATTTTCTGCACTCAATTACTCTCTTAACAGCATCAAAAAGAGAAAGGATTCAGGTATAGTGAGGAGAGAAAGAGGGTGAGAGGGAGAAAATTGTGAAGCATCTTCATCCGCCGAAATGCTTTGAATGCTTCGAAAGGCTTTCTTTTTTTAATGAAAAACCAGTAATAAGAGATGGTTCTGACTATAACAAAATGTTTACTGTCTGTTCGCTAGCTGTGAGCTCTTCACTATCCCCAGATAAATCGTTGAAGAGCGAGACATGGAATAAAGGCTTGAAGAAATGGGCCTCCAAATTACTACATTTCCACAGAATCCTGCTTTCATTACCAAGGAAAATATATCAGAAGGTACTTCACTCTGAAAGGTATTTTAATAATACATTACTTTTCTCATAACTACTCTTAACCTTTAGATACAATGCATTTTGGATGAATGCAGCTGTCACAGCTTGGTGTTCAGATAATGAGACATCCAACTCTTATTTACTGTTGTCTTCCTGAGCTACAGGAGATTTCATAAATTGAACTGCAAATCTGGCCCCTATGCAGTCATATATATCCACGGGAAGTCAGTCCAAAATAACAATATTTTCTGATGGGCCTGAATGAGGGCTCAGCTCCAACCAATGCTCCAGGGTATTTCATAAAATGTATGCAGGAAATGCATCTAAATAGGTTGCTCTTTTTCATAAAGTAGCACTCAATCCATAAGCATGGGCTTTGGGCTTCAAAATGCTGCCCTGTTTTTCCTCATTGTCCAAATTGCTCACATTGTTCTAAACGCCTGCCAGTAGATACAAATCAAGTATGAAATGTGTGAACACCAACAGAGGTCAATAAACCATGTCCACAGTAATATAATGTGATTGATTTTTTTCTCTGCAGTTCTTTCCATTCGGGATTCTGCTATGCGCACACTGTCGATGATTACACAAAAACTGCTGATAGTTAATCATAATGGCTCAGGGTGAGCACTTTACTTTGGTGCTCCCTCCTTCTCATACCCTGCGCTCATTTCCCCTCTTAGCCAACTGATGGTCAGCAAGGTCAACATGACACGCATGCATCCCCGAATGCCATCCGCAGAGGGCGAGAGTGGAAGCTGCTGTTTGGATGCTTCACCAAGAGCCTCTACTGGCACCAGCAGTTTATCTTCACAGTCTCTCATTATATCAGTAGCGCTACAGTGGGTGCTGGGGTTGAACACTGAGCGCAGGGTGGTCGCTTTTCTAGGGTCCTCAACAGTGAAATAATCACCTGCGAGAGGAACGCTAACAGTAAACAGAGAAAGTAAACAGGTAGATGTGAACCTGTTGTGTTTCTGTCAGATGTGGACCACTCAAGGAACAATTCCACACAGTGTCAACATATATTCTATTTGAGGTAACTTTTTCGTGCTCAGCATACCTGGATTCCCAAACACTTTATTCTTGACACAGTATTGCAATATCATCTCCTGTTGATGATAAAATGAATATCGAGTATATATTTTACTTGAGTCAGGGAGTTGTGTGTTTTTTGCTAACAAAATCCCTGATGACACATACGTATACCTCACATAATTAAAGAAAATGACTAATTAGATGAAGAGTAAAGATGTGCTGGATTTCTTCTAATAATGATTTCCTCCTTTTCTTCTAACTCAACTAAGTTACTTTTGGCATCAAAGTGGGTAAAGAGAAGTTATGCATTTGGGCTGTGACAAGAAAGAGACCTCTGCAATGTCTCTGCAAAGCACATTTTAAATACTCAAAATTATAGCTCTGCTCATTGCTAAGATGATCATTTACAGCACATGAACAAAGCTGCCAGCTATCTAGTGTTAATTAAATCTAGATGCCTTTTAATGCATTTAAACACCCACTTTACATTCTCCACTTTTCATCTGTACACAACATTTTTTCACCATTCCCTTATTATGCTCTTTAAAGAAGAAAATCCGGGCCAAATGAATGTTCATAGAAAAGAACTGAAGCTTTGACTCTTAATGGGTGCGTTAGCCCAGCAAAGTCGCTAATGGACGACGCTAATTATGAAAAGCTTGGAAGGCCTCACAAAGGGACTGGATCAATATGTGACGCAGCGTGCTCCACTCATTCATAGATGTTGGATGATGACATTTGCTCGAAACATGGCACTAGACAAGAGTGTGCTGGAGGGGTGGGATGGTGGTGTAGGATCGGGAGGCCGAGGACCAAAAGTGTTCTGCTTTTTCATTTCCAATGCATGTTGGCTAAAAGAGGATGCCTAATGCTTTCATAAATGCAGACAGCAGGTGAGGGGAGGAGCAATGTGTGCTGGTGGATAAAGGAAAACAAGAGAGCTTTGGTCTTATTGAATCTGGTTGTACTGGAAGGTTAACAGGTAGTCTCTGGAGAGTAAAGTGGTGGATAAACTGTTGAAAAAAACTTTGTTAGCAAGGGTTAGTAGGGTAGGAGCATACCCATAATTTTTCATAAGCTACAGCATGACCACAAAATGCTTTATAAAGTCTAGCTTGTTAAGAGTGACCAGTGATGGACCACAGAAAATGCCTCTTACAGGCATACATGAAGAATGCATCTGTGAGACAATGAAATGCAGAATGAAGGCCAGTTGAGAAGTAGATCCATGAGAACCAAAACACACAGTGGTTTATAAAACTATAATCTAAGTCATCAAAGTCACAATCATTTTATTTGCCAACTCAAGAGCTGCAAGGTAAACAGTAGCACTGTCACATTCAAATCATGTCAAGGTATCTACCTAGACTGCGTCTGCACAGAGTTGATTGGCCAGCACACAATGTTGCCCGATGATGAGGGATATCCCGGTAATTTTATATCACTAAAATGCATAAAGTGGTTGTGATTTTGGTCTAAACCTGGCCTTACTATTTAGCATCTGATCAATGCTTAAACCTTTAAAACTGTGTTTTTTTTCAAACCATTTTTAAAGTGCTACCAGTCATAATAAAAGCTTTAACACAAACAAAGAGGCCATTTTTGTGTTTCTGTTGATGAACCCTGAAAATTTGGTTATGAAAAGCACCACCACCAAACTAGTTCTAAAGCACAATTAGGGTCCTTTGTTTTCTACATACCAAAATGTTTTACCAAGAATAGCTTCCATTCAGATCCAAGATGCTTATCTCATAAACAATAGACAAGCAAAACAGTTGCGTTATGACAATTAAACAAAATACTAAGGCTGGGTCCAGACCAAAGTCACAGTCAGTTTATGCATTTTAATGAGAAGACAAAAAAAAAAAAAAAAAAAAAAAAATACTGAGACATCCATCAAATAGTTTAATCTTGCTCAACTTTTGCTGCAACAAAATGCACCATCATCAGGCAACAAACTGTGTGGTCCTGCTTTTTGCAAGTACTTTTTTTGTCTACTGTTTGAGTCAGTGTAGTTCTTGTGCAGTGGAGTGCACCTTCTTTTAGTATGGGTGTTTTAGTTGTAGCTTAAATGCTTGATTGCCTGTTCAGCTGTTTGATCACTTAATCTAAATGTACCTTTTTCTAAACCTGCTTTTTCTCCAAATTAATAAATCCCCAGCACAACCACTGACTGTATTTGTGTTTTGGTGTTTATGTAGAATATTATATTTCAAACTGCAGCTGAGTAGCAATTTCACCTCGAATTTCAACCGAACTAAACTAGCTTGATTATTATGCTTTATTATGTTCAAGAACACTGTGCAAGTCCAGAGAAGCTTTTTAACTTGTGCTTTATGTTGTGTGGTAGACCTCAAGAGAACAAAGATTGTAGGACAATTCTGTGTCATTGTAATATGTAATACTAGTTACAAAGTCAGATCTGTAGTAGGTGTGGCACGGGCATACAGCCAAAGCAGGTAAGTGAATGTTCAAACAACTGAACAGGTAACAAGATCCCCCACAACTTTAGGGGTAATTTGGACACAACATGGCACACTTTCTTTGGTGCAATATCCTGCTCTGGTCCCCTCCTTTTTCCCTCTCCTCCCTGGATAGGCCCATTGATCCACTGTCTGCTGAGCCTCGTCTCTCCAGTATCAGGATAATTCCAGGAGGGATTGGTTTTCCCTTGTTGCCTTTTAGTTGGGAGCCCTGTTCCCGCCCCTTTCTAATTACACCAGCCTTGACTTCCTGATGGCAGTGGTCAGACAAGGGTCCCTTTGTCCCCTGTTTGAGGAGATGGAAGAGGTGGAGTTAGGAGTTGAAGAGATGTAGCTGAAAAATCTAAAGAGCTTACTCTTCCTCCGTGAACCTGTAGGAAAAAAAAATAATGCATAAAATGTTACATATAAAGTAATGTGATTGTACTGAAAATGCATGTGAAGTGTTTTGATCATTCAATCTCCCAAAGCATCAATGGTACTCATCTATGTTTGATTCAACTGCCACAAACCCACATTACCAGCATGTACTGTGCCCGTCAGGACCTGAGGGGAATCCCCAGAGCAACGTCATGCAAATAAGACAAATACAAAACATAAATTATCTCTCTAAATACCTTCATTTCTTAATCAAGGTGTAACAGATATTCTCTTGTGGTTAAACATTATCTACAGTATCATACAGTATGTCTATATACACTGTTAGACTTCCTGAATTACAAAATAGTTTTAATTTCTCTATTTGCTGCCTGAACAAATTAGTTGTTGTCACTGTGGAGCGACACCCATCACACACACACACACACAAGTTTAAACAGCATGCACATATGAACACAGCAGTGTAATCATACTCTCAAAAGCCTGTACCATTCACCAAAATGAGAATTTAGACTGACTGTGACACCGGACATCTCTTTTATCCAGCCCTCCTTTCCTCTTGCCCTGAAATAATGCCACAAGAGCTGCCTCTACAAAAGTTCCCAGCACACAAGCAATTCTTATTTTCCTTTCATTGTCCCTACTGGACAACACAAACAAGCAAACAAGGCTTGAGAGTGCATCATTTCATTTCCATATAAATGAAAAGTGTGCAATGAAATAAGCAAGTGTCCAGCTGTACACAAGGCACAATGGTTTTCATCTTGATGCTTCAACATTGTTTGAAGTGCTCTATGAATTACCTGAACAAAACACTAGATAGGATGATATTCACTGCATTGTAAATCTAAAAGGGTTCTAATAGATTTTGCCAGTGTCTGAGCACTTGAGACATGATGGGTTAAAGCAACATAAGAACTGAGATGATAGTACGGCTCTTCAGTCTTATTCATACCAGATGTCATTATACGCACTTATCCACACGTGACCACGTCCAGTTGCTTTTGGGACCTGAAATGTTATATGTGCAACCTGAGACGTAAATAAATAAATAAATAGTGTTGGGGAAGCTCCTTTGAAAGCAGTGCTTCAAAACAATTTTGTACAAAAATTGATATATGATAAAAGACTACAACAAAATATAATGCAAAGTTTTATGCCAGTAAAAAAAAAAAAAAAAAAAAGCCTTTCTTTTTACAGCCCAAAATCGTCTGTAGTTTAAGCACAACTACAAAAAAGGGCAAAAAAAGTAACTGAGGTACTAGTTTATTTACATCGGTCAGATTAAGTGAAATTTGAAATTTCTCTGATGAGCCCATGAAAAAAATGCCATCAGGCATTTCAGAAAATTGCACAAAAAAACATCCTCAGCAAGTCCTCTAGAAGCCATAGGAAAGATGGAGCGATCACTCCCTTTAAAGGAGGAAGACATGAAGTGCTGTTATAAAGCCACAGACAGAGAAGATCCAGGTGGTCAGATAGTCAGTTTCCGGCCAAGACAAACATTAAGTATCTCCTGAAATCCTTATGTAGCATGTATACCATGTAGTAGTATAAACAGAGTTTTGTGTAGTCTGCATAAGAGATAAGGTTGTAAATATGCAAGGAGGGAAGCACTGCAACCAAATAAGCACTTAACTTAAAATCTTGGTGTAAATTTGATATTTCTCAATCCCAAGGAACTGACAGACTGAAATATGGGTGAAAAGCCACTTTTAATATGAAATAAAGTTCAGACTACAGAAACCTCTGATAGATGCAATGATCAAGGTTTACACTCCTTTGATCTAGACAACCCCAGTTCTTTACCAAACCTCTCAAGACCAGTTCTCAGACTCATACACACCAGCATCTCTCATCTTATGATGAAAAAGCTTGTGTGGTAAAAACAGCTAAACAATATTTCACTCCCAGGTTCCAGGTCCCCATTTGAAGAGATCACATCGGGACATGAAAGCATTCTTTTTTTTCTTGTATCCAACCCCACTCATGCTTGCCTGAAGCGTTGATCTTCTGATGGTGGTAAATGAGTTAGAGACAATCCATGTCTTGGGTAAATGGAGTAGTGAGCTGTTAATGCTGCTCGAGTGGTTGTAACAATGCACTGAAGAGACATAAAATGCAGGAAACCCCCCCCCACCATACTGTCTTAGAGATGTTGGAGGGTTGGAGATAAGCACAGATAACACATTAGTAAGATGCTCAAAACTGAAGAAAGCTCACATGCACTACCATCCATTACAACTGAACCCTGAACTTCTGGTTGAGTATCCAACAGTTGCCATCAGATGTTAGTCAGTTTCCATGATTATTGTGGCAATGTCTAATAATGCATCCCGGGATAAATCATGCTAATGTAACTGTTGAATAACTTTTCTCCTCTCATAAGAGGTTAGTTGTTTTTAATCTCACCCAATTACCACATTAAACATAAAGTGCTACAGAACCAAGCAGCACTGGAACAAATGAGCCCACCAATCTAATTGGGAATTAATGAATGCTTTAAAGTGCTAGCAGCCAGTGCAATTGTAATTCAAAACAAGAGAAAATTAATCACAATAATTTCTGGGAGAGAAAGTTAGCATTAACATAATTGAAGCAGAGAGGATAAAAAGGCCATGGCAGCGTTGGGGGGCACTACTAATCAGTAATCCTCCATGGAGGAAATTGTTTGTTATTATAATTAATTATCCACTGTACTTAATCACCTATATTCAACTGGAAACAATTTATTTTTTTGTCTTTTTTCCCCAACTTTCATATTACAGAAGATGAACTGTCCAAGGGTGTTTGTTGGTGGGTTGGAGAGGGGTCCCTGAAATGGCTGCAGTGGGAGAAAAAAGGTCTGAATTCAGATTTAGCTGTGACAAAACACTATGTGCACTGTTTAAGCTAAACAACTTTGGTGTACTTACTTACTTTTCACATTCATTTCCCTCAGCCTCGCTTGTTAAAGAGTTACTGCCTTTCACCTTTGTATGGGACAGGAGACACATTTTTACAGCCTCAGATCATGAATAAATGGCTTGAAAAATTGGAATTCATTGGCAGCGATACAGTCTGCCATATATCTTTTGTGTTTTAAAGTCCCATTGCAGGTATGATAGTCCTGAACAAGCAGCAACATTTATCCTGGACATGGCATGATTGTAATGATGTTGGGGGAGAATGTATCTGTTGCTTTCAGAGCATCTGTTGCCAATGCAGGCACAATGGCATTAGCCGCAAAAAGCCATGGAACATTAACCGCTCCCAACAGAACTTCCAGATGGATTTTGTTCTAATGGCATCATTATACGCTAAATTAAAAGGCGGGTAAATGGAAGTGTAAAAATTTAAATGACTGAAAAAAAAAATCTCTCAAGCTTGAGCTGTTTTTAGTGGAGGCCTCTGACAGAGAGATTTGAAGCTGAGCCACACAATGAGTGTTAATCATTTGCATGTATAAAATAGTAATGAAGAAATGAATAGTACAGTAGGATGGCAGTACACATTATATTCTGTTATGTTTAACGCTCCAGCTGAGATGGAAATGGCTGCTTTGCAGATGATGCATTCAGCTTGTATTTCACTCGTTAACCTGTTGGTTTCTCTTTAAGTGATTTATCAAGTTGATGTGGTGATTTTATGAAAGCATCTTAATCTGTGTGCTTTTCTGACAGTGGCTTTACTTCCTTGTTGTTTTCTACATGTAATGATATTAATAATAATTTCTGTACAAAGTCAACCTTTCTTTGTCTTTTAAACATTTTTCCCTTTGTAACAAAGTGAGCTAACATCATGTTATAATTACAAACAATACTCATTAAATTAGTGATGTCATCAGCGTGATAAAATTATAAAACAATGTTAAGTATGTTACTTTTGCAGTTAGAGTGTTTGAGGTCTACAGGATCTATTTCACTCACTTTCTCATCCTGCGACATTGAGATGAAGCCACAGTGCCAGTGATGCATAGTCAACAGAAACATGAATGCAACACGCAACTGTGAGTGCAGACCTGGGGTCATCTGGGGTTCTGACCCTGACTGAGACCTTCTGACCTCTGTCTGGGCATTGACAGACACTCGTGGCCTTAACCTTTACCCCTTGACAAGCTGTTGTGTCCAAAACCATCTACGAGGTCTACGTGTAAGGTCTGGACCCGGATCGATCAACCATAAGGAGTGAACTTGTGCCAGGAAAGAACAAGGTCATCAGCAAAAAGGGGTTATCAGATCACACAGTGCATCACAGCCCTCATCGCCATATCTGGAGATACTATCACCCTTTAAAGAAACACTTATTTTTAAATTCCAAAAAAGACAACTTGCTGCTTGAGAAACGCATAGTCACAGCTAATAACACCGGATCTACCTGCTTTTCATGTTATCGCTGCATTTCTTTGTGCAAATTGCTCACAGAAAAGAGCTTCAACAAAAGTAATTGAGGCTATGTTTTACACCAGAGGTACAGAGCATCCTGTATAGCTGTGGAAAGGGTCAGCAGCACTCACTGTTGTGAAGAGGGATGAAAGAGAGGGAGTTTGAGCTGCTACCCTCTGACCCGATAATTAAAAAGGAGAGATTCGACAAAACGCCATTATCAAAACAACTCTCCTAAACCCATTTAACATGACTTATTTCCTGAACACATAACAGCTAATGTAACTGAGCAACCCTCTTGGTAATGATTGCGACTAATGTTCATATTGTCTAAATCTAGCATGTTTTTTTTTTTTTTTTTGTGGGTCATTTTTTACTCACCGCTCTTATGTGGCTGAATGCCATCATTCACTCTTTATCTTTCCAAATGGGCAAATTTCAGTTTCAGGGTTTTCTCTGGATCCCAACTCCACCACAGTTAACATTTACACGATTTTAACTTTCACGTCAAAAATCATTTTTGAATGATTTGGTCTGTATCTGCCTCCTGCTCCTCACCAACCCCCTTTTGAGTGTCCCTCCACCATGTTTGTCTGCCTTGACAAAAGCTTCATTAGAGAGTCCCTGCT